CAAATTTAAGGTTTAGAAAGGTATGTGCTTCCTATTTACCTTTGACTAGGAAAAAATATTTTTCAATTATTTAAAAGATAAAGTAAACTATTTACAAATTAAAAGTATAAACTTAATTTAACCGGGAGTTACAATCATATAAAGTTAATATATTATCATATTGCTCATTATTTTAGCTATTTATTTGTGGTGTATTACTGTATCACTGGATAACTTCTTTGGAACCTAAGTTAATTTTTTCAATCATCATAACTGACTTATTCAGTAAATCAAATCCGTTCCCCAATATTCAAGAAATTGGAACATGTTGCTGTGACACTAGATTTGATATCATTAAGTGAGTTCTCACCATTGGTGTGCATTATTGGATTATGCTAATTCGTTACAATGTCAAAAATCCTAACACCACTATGGGCCCATACAAGTTCTGTTACAACTCACATTCTATTCTTTGACAGTTAGGCCAAGTTTGGGAGTGCTTATGTTAAAAATAAGTGCTTATTCAAATAAGCACTTATTTGCATTTGGCACCCAGCTTTTTCAAGTGCTAATTTTAAAAAATATGCACTTATTTTATATTGGGCGTTTGGTGGTATTTTTCTCCAATAAGCACTTATGACTCTTTTATCCTTCATTTTCTTTCAAATTTTGAAAATATACCCTGTGGGTGGTCTTTCTCTCTCTCTCTCTCTCTCTGAATGTTACACACTTCACACTTTGCACTGATGTTAGTGGACCCCAGTGGAGACTGTGGCTCCAACACACGCGAGAAAAGTCTTTAATCTGAAGAACTTTTCCCGGATAGGCTTTCATTTTACAGATTTTACAGTACATAACTGATGTTCACGGGTTGGGTTGGGTAGGTTTACTGAGATTTTTTCAACCGACCCGACCTGGTCAGGTTACCTGAAATTGAAACCGAAACCGACCCTGTGTTAAGCAAAACCGACCTGGTCAGTTTGAGTCGGGTTGGGTCGGTTTGGGTCGGTTTCGGCTCTAAGTTCAACCATGATAATAAATTGGTAGATTGGAGAAAGAAGACTGAAATTTGATGTAAAAAAGGACACCTAATTCTATTAGAGAAAGAAGACTGAAATTGGTAGGGGGCGGACCAAGTTAGAATAGAAGTTATCAAGAAAATAGAAAGGCAAACTGTATTAGAGAAAGAAGACTGAAATTTGTATATTTCAAGAAACCTWCTAATCTAAGTAAAAAAGGACACCTAATTCTAATTGTAATTGGTTGCCTATTTGGTGTAAAAGACCATAAAAACTAGGATCCTTTGATTCTTTTCTTTAAACTTTTCCAAAAAAATTCCTTGTCTAGTTGACTAGTTGCCATTAATGTCATTCCTAACTAGAAGACTAGAAATTAAGTTAGGTTGTAACTAGGATAGAGACAACTTAGTTAAGTAGGAACTAAGTAGGTTGTAAATACTAATTAGGAACTAACTACTAACTACTAAGTCGGTTCGGTTCGGGTCGGTTTATGATTTTTTACAACCCAAAACCGATCGGTGCTGAAGAAAACCTGGCCAATTCGGGTTGGGTCGGTCCGGGTTGGTCGGTTTGGTCGGGTTGGGTCTTCTTATGAACAGCCCTAATAACTGAGAGAAAAGTGTCAATTGAAATATGAAGAAGGTAATGAAATGTATGAGTTTCAGAAGATGATAGAATCCCTGAGTAAGCAACTGCAAGAGAAAGCAGATGGAATTTGTTAGCTTCAAAAGAAGATCAAGTCAGAAGGTAATGAAATTCGTCTACTTCAAAAGGAGATGGGGTCCCTGAGGAAACAATTGCATGAGAAAGCAGATGAAATGGGGAATCTGGAAATACTGAACCGATCTCTTATTGTCAGAGAGCACAAAAGCAACCAGGAGCTACAGGAAGCACACAAAGAATTGATTAATGTAAGCATCCCTTGTCTTATCCAACCAAAGAAATCTTTTAGGGCATGCAGCTTACTTACCTTGATATACAGGGTCTGCAAAGCTTCGTCAATGGTCATTCTGTAATTGGGATCAAGCGACTGGGGGAGCTTAATGAAGAACCATTTCAATCTCCCAGTGGAATTTATGGTTGTGGCTCATATTCTTTCTGCCAAGTGGTTTGGTCCTTGGGTTCCATTGGAATTTATGCTGTTGCAGTCGATCTCCCAGGTTCTGGTTTCTCTGATAAGTCTGCATTGGAGGAGGATGAGAGATAGAGTGGGGTGTTGGGTAGATTCTGGGATGCTTAAGGAGAAGAGTTTATTTTGGGGATTCGATTAGTCGTGCCCAACATTTTTTACATTGAAAGGGTATAACTGGTATTCTAAAAATTGACTGGGGACAATTCTGGGAGAAAAGATTGAATAAGTGCTTATTGTATAAGCACTTAAAAAAGATGGAATTTTGGGCTTATTCAATAAGCACTTATTTTGGGCTTATTTCCCAAACACCAATAAGTCTTTAATGGTGTGGTACCGGCCCAAAATTAGTCCTTATTCAAATAAGCACTTATTTTTATACACTCCCAAACTTGGCCTTAGTCTTCAAGCATGACAGCAAAATAATCCCTCATACTACTAACAAAGTACAGGTGGAAGTGGAGACCATGGTCATTAATCATCATAGATAAGGACATTATTCCTGACCTCCAAGTAGCAACATGTAGTCATGCACTGTATGCCAACCCATGGATATCATCATGTTACTTGGCGTGAGTTCCTCCTGTCAATTGGAGGTATTGATAAAAGCTGGAATGGTGACTTATGGGTTTAGAAAGAACAAGGGGGTATGGGCAAGCATGGTGAATATACTGAACAAGGGGGATATCATCATGTCACTTTGTGCAGTTGCCTAATGGATATACTGATTTTCAGATCATGGGGTTTAATGAGAATTTTAATTTGTGAGGCAACCTAGCATAAAACTGGTGCTAAGTATTTTTTAACTGCTATTTATTCCTTATGAGATATGTTCTCTCATAAAATTGTTTGTCTGTCTGTCTGTTTAAAATGAGCCAATCTGGCATTCAGCAATTGGTCCTTGTTGAGTATGAGCCTTAATTGTTAATGGATCAGTTACCGATCAAAAAAATTGTTAATGGATCATTTCATCATTTGTCTTTTTCCTTTTCAGAAGAATAATAGAAGCAAACACTGTTTATACCACTATCCTTTTGGATAAGTCATTTTTTTATTGTTGAATAGTAAGATTCATTAAACCATAGCCAAAGAAAATATAATTCAGGGAGAGGCACGGGATGCTACCTCCCCTTTAAGAAGGGGAGATGGAGGATTCCATCTACCCTTTAGTTGAATACACAGAACAAAGAACAAAGAAAATTACAGAGAAGCCCAATACAAAGTAACCCGAGTAGCCTCTTGTTTAGCAAGAAAATCAGCCAAGGCATATGCCAATCTGCCCACCCACTGAAACCTAACTGTCATATTTCTCATGAGCCATATAACCATTTAACCTTTTGGATAAGCCATTTTATGCTGTATCATTTGTGTTCTCAACTTGATCAAAGTGTTTTGGACCGAGAATGAGTGTAGACTTTTCTAGATAACATTTATTTGAGCTGTAAGTGACTAATTGGCTTTAGCTTTACTTATCAAAAAAGGGCTTTAGCTTAACTTCACCTTTTTTGATGAATAGCTTAACTTCACCTTATCTGATGTTCTTATTTTATTTTATTTGTTTTGTTTTCTTTTATTTTTGAAAAGTTGGAAGAGCTCATATGGAGGTAGAACTTTCCTCAAAGCAAAAACTTTTACATATGATGGTATTCATAATATTTGGGTTATATACAACAGACTGCACTTATATTACAAAAATCATTGTCCTTAATAATCTGCTGCCACTAGCAATAAAAAAAAAACTGCTGCCACTGGTTACAGGTACAGAAACGTTGGTACTTGAAAGCCCTCAAACTCTTTGTAAGACAATCAACCTTTCCATCTTACCAATTACTGCTTCTTTAGTGGACCTATTTCCATTGAATTCTACTGTTACACTCATACCGGGCCTACCAGCACAATGCCATTGGGATCATCCTTCACATTATGTTGCCTCTCTTACCGAAACCTTCTGAGGGCCAAGAGAATATGAGAGTATAGAGGTCCTTTGGTACCACTCAAGACTGCCAAAAAGCTGCACAAACTGCGTCCAACTGTTATATGTGAAGCTGCAGTGAATTAACAAATGTGATGCAGACTCCTCTTGATCACATAGGCAGCAGAGATTGTTCAACAGCATTCCTCTGGATTAAAGTGATTAATAGTGAAGATCCTGTCGGAAATTGCAGTCCGAAGAAAGAAAAGTGTTACTGAGGGGGCTTTGGTGCTCCAAATCCACTTCCATGTCAAGCAACCAAACTGCTTGGGCTTCCACCACATCCAGTCCTCACAATTTGGTTGGGGATGGATTCTATTGACTGATTTGCATAAAGACATTATTAGTTAATAAAGACTACAAAAATGCAATAGGAGAATCATATATAACATCTAGTTTAGAAAAGAAAAAAAAAGGGAAGGCTAGATTTGCAAGGAGAGAGAGTTATTGCCTTTTTTTCAAAGAAAGAGTGCAATCTTGACTGTTGGTTGCCTTGTTATTTATGGCACCTGTATACCAGTATACCACTGATTGGAAGAGAAGAATTCCTCCACCATCTTCTTTTATTACATGTCTTATTTATATACCATGGACCAATCATGTAGAAATGCTTAAAGCAACTAGCATTGAAGTACTACATAAAAGTGTATATAATACTACTTTAAATAATTGCAGATAAACACGAATGGACGTATCATAAAATATTTGTCTCTTCTTATTGATCCAAAAGAATTGTTTTATCTAGTTGTTCTTCTTCTGGACTTGAACTTTGGTGGAAGTTTTGATGGTTAAGCTGATTGTTGAAATCTCTCTCTGAGATGATGCTGTTATCTTGTGAGGTAAATGTAACTTGTTTATGATACCTACTGTGTCCATATCTTATAAATTGGGGCACTTGTAGATGGAACATCAATTCTCAACATCAAAATGGAGGTGCAAGCACCAAGACTTCATTATGTTAGTCCTACTTGTTTTGAAGCTGGCAAACCTATGGAGTTTGTTGCTTGTGGTAGTAATCTACACCAACCTAAATTTCGGTATGGTACTACTGTTATGCCTTTTGATACCTTGTAACATATCTTTGCTACTTTGTATAATTGATTGAATCCATATTAGTTGGTCCCCTTTGATTTAATTAATGCTAGTTTACTTCCTGATTTCTATGTAGAAATTTTATTTTTTTTCTTGAATATAGTTGAATTCCCAATTTTAACTGAAGACTAGTTGAGGGGCATGTTCAAATGCATGTGTAAGAGAAGGTAGAGGAAGTGGGAGAAAAAGATGAGTAGACTGTGGAGCAAGGAAAATAATTTGAGAAAAAGTGGAGAGAGGAAAATAAACAGATTAAAATTTTCAGATGGTGGCTGGACGTGAACTCAAGGCAATTATTGACATTAGTGAAGATATTCAGGTTTAGGAATTGACCTGTCTTAGAGTATTAGAATATCAAGTATTAGGGCTGCAATGGACAGAATTCTTGTTGTTCAAGTTGGTTTCTTCTTGCACACGCTTTCATATCAGGCTACATCATGTAATCTCTTTCATATGAGAATTAAATATTCAACTGGTTTGAAAAGTTTTAATGTAGGGAAGAACTTGTTATTTTAATAAAAAGATAAACGGTAAATGTATATAGTAATATACATTTAAGGTGTGTTTTTATAATACATTACCTTTTCATGAAAAAAATATGTAGTAATATACATTTAGTGAGGCACATTTGGCTTTCAAGAGGCATATCTTTGAAGGAGACATTTGGATTTTGGTATGTTGGATAGAGATAGATCAGAGGGCTCTTGGAGGTTGTATATTGTATATAGGGCTGTATTTTATTCTTATTTTATTATTTATTCTTGTATTGGTGGGTCTTGTTATATTTTAGTAGTGTGCATAGGTTATCATGTATTTTGTTTGCATAATGAGGGGTGCTTATGTAATTGCACATAGTTTTGCTCTATTCAATAAAACATGCTCTATGGGAATGAGGGCATTCATTCAATACACCCTCCCAATCTTCTTCTTCTTTTTCAATGTTACATACTTGAACCCTATAAGGTGACATGGTATCAAAGGTATAGAGAAGCATTAGAAGGCTAGACTTGAGATATGCATACAATGGAGAGTTGGGTCATAATAAAGGAAACCCTTGTGATTAAGATTATAACCAAAAAGACGCACATAGCAAATTGAGTTGATAACTTAGTACATTCATGTGGAGAAGGGTGAACAAAGCAAACACAACCAAAGACATGTAGAGTTTATTTAGGGTTATTCACAAGCGTATATATGAAGAAGCTTTTGCTTGTGTGTCTAATGCCTGCATTGTCTGCCATTCGGGGATGGTTGATTTTTTTCAGATGGATGTGATCAATGCATTTCTGCATGCTAATTTAAAGGAAATTATTTGCATGAATCTATCACTTGGATACTACATTGACCAACACTTGGTGTTTTGTCTCAAGAAATCTCTCTATAGATTGAAGCAAGGTCCTTATGCCTTGTTTGAATGTTTTCATCATGTTCTTTTGGAAGTTGGTTATCATTAGAGTGCCTATGATTCATCTCTCTTCCTTTCTTACTGTGATTGTGGTCTCATCATTTTGCTTGTCTATGTGGATGATATTTTTATCACATGTGACAATCTTGAAGGAATTCAACAACTTAAATTATTTTTCAACGTTTCTTCAAAATGAAGGATCTGGATATTAGGACTTATTTTCTCAGTTTGGAGGTGCAATCATTTACAAAAGGGTCATTTGTGAATTAAAGAAAATATACTATAGATTTAATTCAGATAGCTCACCTAATTGACTCCAAGCAGGTTGACAGTTCTATGGAACTCAATTTGAAACTATCTCATGATGATGGAGAGCTCTTGCAAGTGTGAGTGGTGTGGTAAGGCTAAGTGTGGTGGTCTCCTTGAAGGACGAAGGAAGGCTGGGAGCAAGGGCAGGCTATGAGCTTCTATTGATAGAGTCGTATGTTCGTTGTGATTCATGCCTCTTTTTATAGGGAGAGATCCTGAGGTCTTGAAAGGAAGGAGCCAAAAGAGTTTGATTCCCATTTGGAAAGGGGATCTTTGATTCGGTGTCAGTTGTCAGGGGGGCACTGCTAAGGGTTCACCACGTGTCTTATGAGATCTCTCCAGGACGATGTTTTCTTTCTTTTGAGGATTCTCATAATACACGCATCCTACTTTCTTTTGCGGGTCTCCTGTACTGACGTGGCGTGGATGATGTCAGTGCTAGTCTTACGTGTCTTTCTTAATCCTACTGGGTGTTCCATCATGAGTGATATCAGCTAGTTGTTGTATTTTCGTTCGTTGTCGACTTGCGATGGCTTTAGACTCATCGCAGGTTCGTGGCAACCTCGAGTTCGTCATCGGTATTGTGGCTTTGAGCTCATTGCACGTTCGTGTAGGCTTTGAGCTCATCGCAAGTTTGTGCGTGCTTTGAGCTCATCACAAGTTTGTGCAGGCTTTGAGCTCATTGCAAATCTATGCCGAGTTGTGAACTCGTCGCAAATGTTTTTGTAGCTTTGGTTTAGTACCTTCTGTGCCATCGCAGTTGTGGTGAACATGTACCTACATCATGATCCTACTATGTATCTTCAGTTGGTTGGAAGTTTTATTTATCTCACTTTGACCCACCCATACATTGCTCATGCTGTTCAAGTGGTTGGCCAATTTGTATATGCTCCTAGATAGCCTCATCTCCATGTGATTCTTGTTCGTGGATTGTTTTTCCCTTTCATATTTGGTCCATCTTCATGCATACTTTGATGCTGATTGGGCAGGGTGCCAGATATACATTGGTCTACGATAGGGTAGTGCATCTTCCTTGGTATTTTATGGAAGTGTAAGAATTACGTTACTGTGTCCAAATCCTTTATTGAAGCTGAATATAAGGCCATGTCTATTGCATGTGATGAGATAGTTTGGTTGAGGGGTACAATCTCATCCAAACCTGTGGTACATGAATTATGGCCCCACTGACACAACAAAGGGTAAAAATTGAACTTTGATGGGAGCTCTATAGGTAATCCGGGCCCATCTGGAATAGGTGGTGTCTTCAGAGATGGTGAAGGCCAAATAATGGGTGGACATTTTTATAACATATCATTTGAGACTTACCTAATGTATAGTTTCTCCAGACATTTTTCTGGAAAGAGTATAACCTCTAAAATTTCTCCAACCTTGATTTAGAGTCCTTACCAAACAATAACACATCATCAGCAAACAAAAGATGAGAAATTAAGGGGCCATTATTGATAAAAAAATTAAGGGGACATTTTTGGCAATTTTAATTCCTTTTATCTTAGCCTCTCCTTCAGCTTTCTCAAACAGTCTGGAAAGACTTCCATTTTCATGAATATTTTCTGGCTTCTTTTCTTTCTTTTTTTCTTCTTTTCATGAATATGCTGAATTTCCATGTTTTGGTATGAGGTTTATACTTGTTTCATTTAGGCAACAAAAGCCGCTCCCTGTTGCCTAGCTGCCTTGGCGCCTTGAAAACTGTGATGTCAGTTTTAAAATGGAGAAAAAAAAAGATTTGAATTTCTTGATTGTCCCTATTTTTCTTGCACATGGATTTCTGTTACCAAGCTGAAATGTCTTCTGTTAAATGCTTAACCATTAGAATACTGTACAATCACAAATGTAGATGACCAAATATGTTCGTGAACTCTTAAATATCGTGTTCATACAATCTTTTAGATGATGCATACCTTGAAGAAACTGCCTTCTTGTTCAAAACATTGTTTCCTGGAATATCATACAGTTACAAGATTTTTATGTTTTAAAGGTGGTTAATAAACTTGTAGTTCATAGTTGGTACTAATATACAAATGGCTTCTGTGGCAGGTTTCTTGTGTCTTTTGCTGGAAAATATCTTGCATATGATTATTGCATTTCTCTTCAACATGAGGAGATTGATTGTGTTGCTGCTCACAATTGTGACCATCAGATGTACAAGATATATATTCCTCATACTGAGCCAACGCTTTTTGGCCCTGCATTCATTGAGGTGTGTTCTGGGGAATAATCTGTTGTTTTTTCCTCTGCTGGGTGGTCTGTAAATCTGTTCTTCATGCTTTGTATGGTAGTTTCCAGTCTAGATGGTAATGAATATAAGCATGTGCAATTATGAATGTGTTTCAACTGGAAGTGGTAGCTAAATCCATAGATTTGCTTTTCAACATTTTGCCCTTGTGCCACTATACTTTGGATACTCTTTTACTGAAAAACACTTGCTACCTGTTAGAATTTTGAAGTTTGAACATCCTCAGCAATTGGGTAGTAATTATTGGTTTTTTAATTGTCTGGTACACTGCTATGTGGGTGACCGAAAGCATTCTCTTTTATGATTTGTTGATTCTCTAGGATGCAGCAGATTGTTACTTGAACTATACTTATTTTTTCTCTTCTTTTTCTCTTTTTGTTAATCGGACTTGATCCCTTGATCCTTTCTGTTTCTTAGAAGGCTTGGGGATGTCTTAGGAATGCTGGTTGGCAAGTTGATGTAATAATTTTTTATTTTTGTTGATAGTTTTAAGCGCACAATATTTTTTGGATAATTTTTAAGCTTACAATATACTAAATTGATCACAAGAAAAAATAGTCACAGGTAATTTTGCTAAATCACTGTTGTATCTTGAATTTGGATTATGGCATTATGCCATCCTCTGTTTTTCATATTTGAATGAGCTTATTTGGCTAGAAGGTGTTTGATCTCGGTAAACTTTACTAGCAATGTCTTCATACCAAGTCTAGAATATTAGAGCTGGTTATGGCATTATGCCATAAGATTAACTAGGAATGCTGGCAAGGTATTTTGGTCTTGTAAAACTTGCTAGGAATGTCTTCATAGTCAGTTTAGAATATTAGAGCTTGCCTTAGTCAAGTGCCCAGGACTAGGAATTTAGTGACGTCTATAGATTTGTGCTGCTTGAATCTGCTGACATGAGGAATACTGTACATATTTGTATTTGTACTCCTTCCAAAATCCAACTGAGCCTAAGTTGGAGTTTTTGAGTTGATACCACTTTCTTGAAATACATTGGTAGAAATAGTTATTATTTCTGTATAAGATGTGCAGCTATGTGTTGCTATTTGTTAAATTGCATATTCTTTTTGGTTTTTCTTTTGTAGGTTGAGAATGAGTCTGGGATATCCAATTACATTCCTGTCCTCATTGGGAACAGAGAAATATGTAGTGAAATGCAGGCATTGCAACAGAAGTTTGATGTATCTTTGTGCTCAGAGAGGCACCATCTAGAAGTTGCTGATGCCATTTCTGGTGAGAGCAAGGTCCTTTTATTAAGACAAACAGCAATGTCTGAACTTCTTTTAGATATTGCGTGGTTGTTGAAGGAGTCTGAGTTGGGAAATGTCCAAAGCTTCTCTACTTGTACCCAGATTCAGAGGTTCAATTGTTTACTGGATTTTCTAATAAAGAATAATTCTACCGTTGTCTTGACGAAAGTAATAGAATCTCTAAAGGTGTTGATGGGATCGGAGTACAACACTATCAATGCAACTGATGATAGGGTCAGGCTATTTTGGGAATATATGGATAGTGCTAGTAAAATTGTTCACCGGAGATTTCAGCATGCCAAGGATTTACGAACATTTTCAGGAAGCTCTATGCCAGAAAAGGATTCTTTTCCTCAGAGCTATGACCAAGATGATGTGAACTGTAGCATACAAAGTAACAATCAGGTGAACTTTTTTATTTACAGTCCCCGAGTGTATGTGTTGTATTTGATGGCCTGCCCTCATTCTTCCTATTTAAGGCTTTAAGGTTTAAATTTATTTCCGTTGGTTTTATCTAGTTTGTTTTATATATCTATTTATGTGTGTGTGTGTGTATAGATAGATAGATAGATAGATAGATAGATAGATAGATATGAAATTTTCATCTTTCCCGAAGAAGCAAATATCATATTTTCCTATGTCTAGTTGTAGTCAGAGCCATTTGCTACAAGTCTACAAGATTGACAAAGTGCCTTTTCCATGTGAGACGGCATGCATTGGATTTTTTTTTTGGTAAGATGCATTGAAAAGTTGGCACCCATGTTTTAAAAACTGACCTGGAACCAGAACTGCTTTGGCCACCAGTTTCTGGGTCAGTGGTTTGACTGTATGGTCCAAACAGACCAGCCCATTGTAATTTTCAAAAATAAAAATGAAAAATAATTAAATTTAAAAACGGATAAAAACTGTTGTCCAGGTTGGACGGGTTGACAGTTTGACTGCTTGTGTCAGCAGGTTACTGACCAAGTCAATGGTTGTTGGAGGGGTGAAACAGAACTGGTTGCTTGGCCAGTTTCTGGGCTGAATGGTCTGACCGTCCTGGTAAATGGCAGTTTGAAAACCATGGTTGGAAACCAGAGGGGCTATATGCCTAAAATTGATATACATTTCTTGGCCATTAAGATTTGCTTTGGAATTGGTCGGTCTCCTAATCGAATTTCTATTCTGCTAGTTAAAATTTTGTCTCTGTAATTCGGTTTTTTGGTGTTTGCAGGATACTGAAACCAGAGGAGAGGAAATAATGGGAGTAGTTGGAACCACAAATTTAAAAGACAGCAGTATAACTTTGGCTCTGATAAATAGAGGAGATGTTATGAATGTGAAGTACCCGCGGAAGCCCTGTGGTTACATTCTCTCCAACAGGGTGATCAACTCGCGCCCTCTCATTTTCATGGTTGTTGCTGCTGCTATGTGTTTTGGAATATGTGCAGTTCTCTTCCACCCTCATAAAGTTGGGGAACTTACTGTTACCATTCGTAGGTGTGTTTGGGGCATCCCAGGCCTTAGGGACTAAGAATTGGAGGGTCTCTATGATCTCTGTTGATGTGTATGTATAGAGCCAGTGTAAATTATACAAATTGGGCGCAACTACGAGAGGGGCTCTGCTCTTTCAACGATTTTTGGCTTACAGATTATCTTGTGCTGCACAATGACAGTTGCAAACGGTGGGGAAGGGGATTATATTCTTCCATCCAATTAGATGTTAACTTCTGCAGGCAGCAGGCAAGAGGCAGGTATTGATCCAATTTTATCGGTGAGTAATACCTTAGAGCGTTCAGCCATGTAATGTAAATGAGATTTTTGGTGATTAGAATAATTTGAAGGATTAGTGTTACTGACTACATTTAGTGTCTGCAAGTATGCTTTTTTCCTTTTGATAAAATGGACGCATAATTAATTGCCACAGAAATGAGAAATCCAAAAAAAAAAAAAAATGAATAGGGGTGTGCTCCTTTGTGAAAAGTAGGGTCTGGCCAAACCATTCCCCTAATTGACCGCCTACTGGTCCTAAAGGTTTCTCTGGCCTCTCCATGCAAGCCAAACTTTCAGTAATTATAAGAACAATTGATTTGTGGCGCGGTGGAAGTACTTTCAAGTTTCCATAGTTGGTCTAGACTCCGGATCATTGCTTAAGTGTTGGGATTTCTGCGGAACCAATAATAACACTCTACCTCAATCATAAAATACATGGGCTTAAACTCATTCCACCTTTCAGTGTTGGCCCCATGTATTTTATCACTGGCATCATCATTGGTTTCACAGCCTATTGGTTTTGAAAAGGCCGCATATAAAAAAAGGCAACCTATTCTATTTTAAATGAATAAAAGTGTATATTGCCATTGTTTAAGAAAAAAATAGAGTATATTGCCATTGTTTCATCATTTACTGCAATTGTTGATGCCATTACTTCACCTAGCATTCACTCTCCATTTTTAAAATGATCACCCTTACCGCTGAGTCCATCTAGGGTGTTTGTATAGTAGTGTAAGAAGAGTATTGTCTTTTACTATGCTCTGTTCTTTTCTCCCTGCCTATTGGTTTTGAAAGCATATTAGGCTTGGATCGGTAAGAGTATAAATACAAATATGTAGAGTGCAAACTTGTATTTTATATTATTTTGTACTTGTACTCTTAATTATTATTGATGTTTCACTTTCAGAACTACAAATTTGCACATAGTCAAGCTATTGGCCTACTAATTTTAGGCACCGTTTGTATAAACTTTGGCTTTTGAACTTTTTATAGTTCAAAGTAAGCCAATTTTCGGCCGTTTACTTTTAGACTTTGGCTACAAAATCCGCTTGGTATATATTGCTTTCAATGCATGCTTTTTGAAGTAAAAGCACGAAATGGGTGTTTGATAATATCAATTTGCTTTGGGGCTTTTATAGACACGTGTCACCGTTCTCTTGAGCACAATAAGACCGTAATATATTTGCACATTAAACCTTATTAATTATCATAAAAAAAGATCCACATTGAACTTGTTTAACGAACATTTGACCTTCAAAGTTCAAATAACAAGAAAAACAACTACTAATGGCTGTTCCTCATTACATAAGCATTGTAACAAGTGATAATTCTATGATGTAAATTAAAAAAAAAGGGTTAGGGTTTGGCTAATGCATACAGAGAAGAAAGGAGAGAATGAAGAGAAAAAAATGGGATTAGGGCTTACCATTCAATGAGAGAGTAAGAAAGGAGGAGAGGAGGAGATCAGCTGGGGTTTAGAGTTTTAAGTTCGGCTTCAGTCAGAGCAAAGCCCGTTCGAACAACCTTTACAGCTTTGCATTGGAAATATCTCCCTACTTATGTGCTTTACTTCATGGGTAAATATTCCTAATGCAAGGTTACAAGAGGCTGTTGAAACGGTGTGAGCATGAACTTGCGCTGACTGAAGCCAAACTCTAGAGTTTTGGAGCTTGAGTTTCTTCAATCGACAATGAGACGAATAAATGGCCCAACTTGATATGAGAGTTGATTTGTTCAAAAAGCCAAAAGCCGAAATCTGTCTCTTTTTTTTTTAACTTTGGAATAAGGCATGGATGATGATGATTTCAGGTTTCAGCCCTTAATGGACTTTGATTCTGGAAGTAGGCATTGCCAAATTAAATAAAAAAGCCATATTTTAGCTTTTTGGACTTTTCAAAGCTGAAATCCAAAAGTAAAAATTTATCCAAACGGCACCTTAGTCTTTTGCATCACAATATATTTTGATGCATAAAGCATACAAGCTCGTAAAACCCTAATGACTACAATAGGTAGAGTCCGATGGCACTAGTTTAATCACAACCATAGGAGTAACTGCAGCCTCAACACTTAGAAGAACCCATATACAACAACATGCCTGAAATGTAAACCAGTAGAGAAAATGACAAAATACTGCATTTTCCAAAAGAACCATGAATAGAATAATATGGATCAGCCACTAACGCAAACATGTACGGCTTCTGGCCACTGCTGTGGAAGCCAACATTCTTGTTCTGGTCATGGTAGAACTTCAGTGAACATGGAGGTAGGGTTGTTCATAACAAGACCCAAACCGATTAAACCGACCAATTCGGTCTAATCCAATCCGAGTTGGCCGGTTTTTTTTCAGCACCGGTCGGTTTCAGGTTACAAAAAAACATAAACCGATGGTTCGGTTTGGTTTTGGTTTTCATGTGCGAAAACCAAAACCGAACCGACCCAAACCGACTTAGATATATATTATATATAATATATTTCAGATTATATATATATATATATATATATATATATATATATATTCAGTTTTAAAATTTGTTTCAGATATATATTCAACTTTGTTTCAGAAATATACATATTATATATAAAATTTCTGATATATAAAATATCAGTTTTAATCCATCAAATCATTTTTAATTTTCAGGCATCCAGCCTTTACTTTCTTAGACTTGAATCCTTTACCGTTCACACCAAGAGAATCATTCACAAAACTGACCCAACCTCATTCAAACTGATCAGGTCGGTTTTACTTAGTACTGGGTCGGTTTTGGTTTCATTTCTAGGTAAACCGACCAGGTCGGGTCGATTGGAAAAACGTCAATAAACCGACCCAACCCGACCCGTGAACAACCCTAGATGGAGGTGACAAATGACAATGTCATTGATTGTCAATGGGAAATTCACTCAACTGAGAACGGATTAACTGAATAGCTGAACTTGATTTTATTTTTTATTTTTTAACTGCAGAACCAATTATAATGCCCCACTCCGTTGATAAATGCCGAGTGAGAGATTAAGCATACATTTGGTTCTATATGTGGGATGGTAAGGCAACAAAGAATAGTCTCCTTGAAAGACGAATTTGGAGTTGGTTCCGGGTTGGAGTTATGGATGGGTTTAATTCTCTAGAGGAAAAGGGTTAGAAGGTTGTGGTTGGGGAATTCTAGAGGTTCTAGTATCTCTCTCGCAGCTTCTGTCTTCTGATTTTTATAGAGGAGATCCCGAAACTATAAAGATAAGAGTCCAAAAGAGGACTTTACCTATTAGGGAAAGGAATCTTGACTCTCTTGTCAACTATTAAGTAAATTTTAATGGGGTTTTGCCACGTGTCCAATGAAGTCTTTTAAACCATGTGTCGATTACATCCCTTCATAGGTTTTACTGTGGTGACGCGTTAGGGATGAGATATTTGGTCGGTTGATGTGTTTGGATATCTTAGTGGTCATCCTCGAGATGCTTCGTCGCAATTTGTTGTGACTACAAGAAGCGTAGGTCGACTGTGAATAGATATTTAAGTGTTCATTGCAAGTTTTAAACAATGCTTAATGTCCATCATAGATCTATGATGCTGTTTTGTGCTCATCGCAGGTTTGGATGATGCTTTATGTTTATCGCAGGTTGTGGATGATGCCTTGTGTTCAATGTAGGTTGTGGATGATATTTTATACACATTGCAAGCCCTGGATGACATTTTATGCTCATTGTGGGTGCGTGAACCTGCATTGCCTCAAAGGTTGTTACAGAGCCTGCATTGTTATCATCTTGCCTAGTTTGATCGTAGCATTCTTCACATTTGGGGTTTCTCCATGCAGTTCTTATCTATGGTTTCTATTATAATTTTCGCAATAGTGAATTATATATACTTATAGGTTCCGTGGAGTTTACAGATAGATCATTTATTGCTTTAAATGTTTATTTGTACAACTTTAAATACTTCAAATGTTTATTGTTTTTGTTATTTGGTTGGAGATTACTTTATACGTGTTTTACTTTCTACCTCAGATTAACACCGCATAAAAGTGTCACATAAACATTTTGTTTAAATTTGACATTTCCCCATATATGAATACTGCATAAAAATTCAAGCATTTATGATTTTCAGTATTTATTTAATAAACTATGAAATCAAACAGTGGTTGGTTTCATGCATAATAAATACCAACACCTATGCAACTACGCTTTTTTCATACACAATAAATTCCAACGCTTATGTGGGTGAGTTTTTTCAATAGACGCTTACGGAACCAAATAACCTCGAAGTAGTTATGGGTCATATGCCACAACCGCACAGGCATCATCAATGTTCAGCTAATCGGCTCTCCATTCCATTAGCCCTTCCATCGCAAATCTACTTTATACATAGCCGCACTTGGAACTCTAATAGAAAATTTCAGAGAATCTTGATGGTTTACGTTGAAGTTGATTGTAGATCGAACCGAAAAACAACAATTGATTTGATGAGGAGGTTATTAAAGGCTCTAGAGCGAGAAAAGACAAAAGTCTTACATTTTGTGAAATTGTTGACGTTATAATTTTTTGTTTGACTTGAGCGAAAATATTCCTTCAACTTCAAACGCAGATGATGGGGACTGTTTTACATTTTGATTGGTGTAATATTGTAATGGTTGGATTCTTGACGGATGAGCTATTGTCGAACAGATAAGCCATGAGCCTTGGACTATGAACGGCAACGGGGCGGGGATCCCCGATCTCGATTCTGAAATTAATTCCATCTCTGTTTTTATTGCCATCGAGGATAAAATGTGTTCTCCATTCCTGATTCTCGATGGAAGTGGATTCCTCGTGGGGACCTGAATTTTCAAAATATTTTTAGATAATAGCAGTTTTTTTAAATAATACTTTAAATATATTTTGATATATAAAAATAATATAATAATATATATTTAATATAAACAATATTATATATATATATATATATATATATATTCCTATTAATCTTTGTTCCCGCCCCCGTCCCCGCCAAAATAATCCCCATCCCCAACCCCATCGAGCCAGGAAAGTCGAGTCCCGGTCGGGGATGTGAAAAATTGCCAACCCTACCTTGAACTAGTGCTTATAGCCCGGTAATGGTTGGTT